AAGCCTCTTGTCAACACTAAACAAGGTGAGTTACCAGGTTTGATATGTTCTGCTTAAGAAGACTGAGGAGTAGGCAATATGTTTTTGGAAGGTTTCCAGTAAAATGGGAAAAATAATAAAAAGCTACAGCTCTTAAAGGGGTACTTTTTCATTATCTGGAAGCTTCCTTCTTGCAGGTCCCCTCAGGAAGCTGATTCATCACAAGACATGACTAACTGTGCCAGCCTCTTGGTCCCTCTACAAGGATATCCATCAGTCACCTTCTGCTTAAAGGTTATCCATGACCTCAACTGACATGTCTAATGGGGTTAAGGATTGACAGAGCAGGACACTGGGTACAGACTCTGAAATTCAGAAGGCACTAGTTCAAAATTTTGTGAGGCGTTGGTGGTTCAATGGTAGAATTCTCGCCTCCCATGCAGGAGATCTGGGTTCTATTCTCAGCCAAAGCACCTCATGTGCAGCCACCACCCGTGGCTTCCCTGTTGCTATGATGCTGAACAGATTTCAGTGGAGCTTTCAGACAGAAAGAAAGGCCTGGCGATCTACTTCTGAAAATCAGCCAATTAAAACTTTAGGGATCACAATGGTCAAATTCACAACCAACCATGGGGATACTGCAGGACTGGGCAACATTTTGTTCTGTTGAGAATGGAGTCACCGTAGGCTGGAGGCTGTCTCAACCAAAGCTAACAACAACAGCAGTTCAAAAATGGGATCAAATACTCTTCGGGGACAAGATGTTGAAAAACCATAGCTCTTGCCTTCAGCCTAGCCCTGGGGGAAGTCATTTAGACTTCAAGGCAGATATCCTTGGGGGATGTCAATTGGCAGCTTGCTGGATCTCTCAGTAGAAAAGCCAGCTAGAGAATCATCATCAACATAATCGTTAATTTAATTCTCCTTTACTGGAAACCCTAGTGGTGTAGTGGTTAAGAGCTATGTCTGCTAACCAAGAGGTTGGCAGTTGCAATCCACCAGCTGCTCCTTGGAAACTCTATAGGGCAGTTCGACCATGTCCTATAGGGTCACTATGAGTTGGAATCGACTCAGTGGCAACGGGTTTTGTTTGTTTGTTTGTTTACTGAACACAGTTTCCAAAGATGGGAAAGGCAAGTCCATACCCTCAAGGAGCTTGTAACTTCCTGAAGCAGAGGTATACTGTAGGGTAAAAACAATATCACATATATGGACTAACCCTCACCAAGCACTTACCATGTGCCAGGAGCTGTTCTCATATCTCTACATGTATTATCTCATTTCATCCTCTCAACAGGCCTATTTTTATCATCTCCATTCCACAGATGTAGAAACTGAGGTCCAGAGGAGTTAAGACAGTTGCCCAAGGTCCTCAGCTAGCAAGTGGTGGAGTCAGGAGTCAAACTCAAGCTTTGACTCCAGAGGCAACCCCTGTGACCAGTGCAATAGGAGGGTACAGATAATGTGCCATGGGGAGCCCTGGGGGGATGGTCCTGGGATGCAGGGTGTGTTTTGCAATCAGCAGGACTTGCATTCTGAAACTACTCTGCTACTCATTAGGCAGGAGGACATGAGGGTCAGTTGTTTTCAAAGCCAAAGGAGGCCAGCGGAGGATATTTATTAGAAGAGCTGCTGGAGGGAGGGTGCACAGACTTATTTCTTGCATGATTCACTAGACCAAAAGGGGCAGCATATGAGGTGGTGGGGTGGGGGGTGTCAAGAAAGGCCTTTATGGAAGAGGTGTCTTTTAAGATGGGTCTTGAAGGGTCAGCAATTTGGATTAACTTTAAGAAAGGGAGGTAGGGTGGGTGTCATGGTTTGAATTATGTCCCCCAAAAATGTATCAATTTGGCTGGGCCATGATTCCCAGAATTGTGTGGTTGG